ACACACACACACACACACACACACACACACACACACACACACACAGCAGAAGAAGAAGAGCAGACGGATATCAAGGACTTCCTCTCTGATGCCCAAATGTCCACCCTCTCTTCCAAACCTCCCTGAGCACATAGATCGGACATTGTCCATGCTCTCTGAATCTGCCTTCTTTCGCTGTCTGATTCGGAAGTGCAACTCCATTCCTTTCTGTCTCTGACACGCACTTCTTGCCTCTCCCAACGCTCTCTCTGCATGTCGGCCTCGAACATTTGAGAACTATTGCACATGCACTGCATACTGTACCGGGCACCATAACTTCGCCATCATCATGGTAATGAAATTTCTTTCATGTTTTGTCCCAATCTAATGATACATCTTGCACGTCAGCCTTGAACATCTTGAGAAGTTTTGCACATATTCTGTATGTTGTTCTATGCACCATAACTTTGCCGTCATCGTAATGGGATTTCTTGCATTTTTGCTTCCCATTGAACCATTTATTTCAATGAGCATGCAGTGTAACGTTTTTCTGGTCATGAGAGTTCCTATAACTCCATTCCTAACGTTGAACCCTGCGTTGTGATTCACTGATTCAGCATTTTTCTGCTCTCTTCTGCAGTGTCAGCGTGGCGGGTGTCACCTATTTTTAGTATTTTTGTAAATAATTTTAGTATTTTACCCATTTCTTTTCTCTTTGCTTTTTTTTTTTTGAGATAGGCCAGCATTTCTTGATTTATGTGCATCATCGTTATGTGGGGGACATGCCAATCTTCTTTTTATGGTTCCAATGTTAACGGATGTCCCGATGGACATTTTTGAATGATTTCCCTATTTCTTCTTCTGTGAGTCTAACAGAGCTGCTGTGCTGCTGTGCTGCTGTGCTGCTGGGCCGTCCTGTGTCGCCTTGTATCTGACCCTGGTCTCTTGACGCTATGAGAGCAGCAAACATGAAGTCTCTGAGAACCATCTGTGTATGGATGTTGCATGTTTATTTACAAATGCAGGATGAAGGACCTGCTAAATGGCATACGAGAAGCCAAGGATCTGGACGTGCTGCGTAATGCAGATGTTGTTGGAATGACAACCTCAGGGGTTGCAAAAAGCTTGCGGCTTGTGAAAGCTCTCGGACCTCGAATCGTCGTGGTGGAGGAAGCTGCAGAGGTGCTAGAGGCTCACATTTTGGCATGCCTCTCGGAGCATACTCAGCACCTCATTCTCATCGGTATGGCATCTTTTGTAAGCATGGCAAAAGTAAACACAATGTCATGACAATGATGTCCAAGGGGTGGTACTAGGAAGTCCTTGATAACTGAATAGAACGCACAGTCATTATGGCTGCATCTAGGCTTAAAATTGCGTTAAAAAGGCTTAAATAGAGCTATAATGACTGGGTGTTCTATTAGGGTGAAGGCGGTATGGCATCCTCGATAAGCATTGCAAACATAAACACATGACAATGATGTCCAAGGGTGGGTACTAGGAAGTCCTTGAAAACCGAATAGAACGCACAATCGTTATGGCTGCATCTAGGCTTTAAATTGCCTTTGATAGAGCTATAATGACTGGGTGTTCTATTAGGGTGAAGGCGGTAGGATTCTCAAACAGAGAAGCTGTTGGAAGAAGAGGGTAGCAATTCATTTTATCATTTTCTCCTGCATTGCAAAATAGTACGTGAACAAGTAATTCAATTAGATTCACATGACACAATTTGACAAGTAAAACAGGATTTTGCGCAAATACCATAGGTTGTTAGAATGTGTTGGATTGACGGGATTTCACACAATCAAAGGTCCCCGTCCCAGTTAATCCGGCAGGCTACAGTACCGGCATGGCAGGCCTAGGGTCTGTGGGATGAGGTTGTAGGTAGGTAGGTACAGTACCTGCAAGCGTGTCAAGTCCCTCAAGTTCAATTTTGCAGCAGCCTCCCTAAGGAAGTCAGGAACTTTTTCAAAATGGCAATATGCCAATATGGCAAAGGCAGAGGCCTCAGGAGGCTGGTACAGATTGAAGCAGGCACAAACAGCCCACTGCCACTATGTATTTGGGCTACAATGCTGGAAGGCATTCAGTTGTTCATTTCACAAAATTGTGGAAGCGCTGAGGAGCTTGTGCGATCAAGTAACCTGGACAAAAAAGGAGCACAAGGGGAGAAGAGCTCAGCACCTGGCACTATTCAGTTGGCCATAGCCAGGCGAGAGGGGAGAGGTTCCCGGGCGACCATAGCCGCCCAAGATCAGCAAGGCACATCGTAGTAGCATTCAGGGTAGATCTAGGACGTCGAGAGAGGAACAGTGA